AAGGTATGAGATCGTGGGACTCTAGTTTTGGATGTTTTCGGCGTATATTACGACCACTAACTTACAAATACCGCGGTATACGGTCTCAGACGTTCTCGGCGTGCATTTTTACCGAGGATTCAGACCTTTACTTCCCCGATTTATACGAAGAATTGGCGGAAAATGGAGGAAGTGACAATAAGGATGGCTTGCTACTTCAGCCGTTATTTTTAACGTCTGATTTAACGGTTCCGGTTGTCATTCTGAGTTTCATTACGAGTTCATTGCGGCAGATTAAATAGAATTTTATAAGTTCATGGGTACATGTTATGGGCTGCAGATGAAAATGTTGACCTGTGTTAACACAACCAGGAACGCTAAACACATAAAATTCAACACCATCAACTATACATAACAAACAACATATAGAAATATACAATAAAAAGCCCGGAGGTATAAAATCTCAGATTTTACTTGTTTGATTTATTTCGTAAAGTCTGTAATATGGGTATGGGTATTTTTCATCAAATAACCTGCTGTCTATATCATTCATTTGGTGAATGAAGCCTTCTTACAGCCTGTGATATGTACAATCATGTTTGATGTCTAGGACTAGAAGATTTACTTTGAAATTTCATCCCGTTTTTGTTGTGATCTGTTATCCTGGTGATGCTCAGTAGTTGTCCGTGTATCCAGGGGCTGTAATCATTCTGTGGTTGGAGCCAAGCCAACAAACATCATGTCTGTTTGAAGGGACGGCTTGCCTTTTGTTTCACTATTTGAGAGGATTTGGGTCAGAGGTAGAAGTACTTTTTTCAGTGTTCTGTAGTATTGCAGAGTGTCAAATTTTTTTTCTGCAATTCAGAAATACTATCTGCAAATACACACTTAAAAGTCCAGACCTAAACCAATGGTAATATACAAATTGCATGTTGGCAAACATAATCTTACATGCAATTGAAAAATTGCTAGCCCACAGATAGAGTCAGTATAGTAGTAAACACAAAAAGCTCTTAACATTATGCCACCAACTGAAACCATTGGACACCTAGCTTGATTTAATTTTTCCAGTCTGCAAAGTTGCAGGTTGCTTAATTTTTCTTTCCTGCAGTATTGAAAATGTCTCTGCTAAATACAGACTGCAGATGGGTACATGATTGTATTTCTGTCAGTACTGGAGATGGGAAGAATTTAGATTAATTTAATAGATACATGTCTGACTGCTGTCAATAAATCTAATAACCGTTCTGTTTCGCTTCCAACTAATATTTCTTTTGGTCAGAGATCGAAATTCATATTTGGGAATAGTTGCACTGGTGCACCCAACCTAAAAAATTGGCTACACAAAAATTTTTTCGCTTCCAGCTGAAATTTCTATTGGTGGATGGTAATTTTTTTCTGTGATTCCTAAACCTGTAGTTTCAGTATTTGTAATGTCATAAAAAAATTGAAGTAACAACATTTCTATTCACGGATCCTGTATAACTCTAAGATTATGGTATAGTTTTTCTTCAGGTTTGAAGTACAAAATTTGATTTATTAGGATTGTCAAACACAGTGGAGGTAATATTGAGCAACATGATGGGATGGATTATATGATAAGGTACTACTGCCCATGTATTTCAATCAATTTTTAAGCCCATAAGATACTAATAGTAGTGTTTCTTTTGTATAATTTATCATTATGATGTTAGGGTTAATGCTGTAATAGATCAACATTGTTCTAAGTCGTTTGTGAAGATTATAGAATTATGAAGTCATAATGATTGTGAAATATGATACATTCAGACGTTAGATTTTTGTGGTTTCAGTTCACCTTGACCTTCTGTAATGGAGTTTAATAATCGTCATTGGCATGAAGGCCACACCAAACTCTGATGTCTTGGTTCCTAGAATTTGAATTTGGTTCCTAGAATTTGGTTTCTAGATTTGGTACCTAGAATTTTGTTCCTAGAACTTTATGATGGGTGAATTTGTTCATAGAATTGTGTTCCTAGAATTTTATATTGGGTGAAAAAGCAAACAAACAAACAAACAAACAAACAAGAAAACAAACAAACTATTAGCATCCATTTTATTATTTTTGTCATTTTATATATTTTGAAGTTTGCAAAATTGGAATTACAAAAAATTTAGAATTCAGAGATTAAATTAGAAACAACTTTATATCCTAAGCTCTTCTGAAAGACCAGAAAATTTTAAAACCACATTTAATTTTAAATCCTAGTTCTCGCTCAACAAATGCTAATTTCAAACCTTGCAGTTTATACTATGCATCCGCCTGAACTCTTCCCTTGCCTGTGCCGTTCCCATTTGATCTCCTTTGAAAGTTTGGTCCTCCCAATTTGGTGCTTGTGAGATGATGATGATCTAGATGACAGCTCTGTGATTAGAAGTTACAGTTGAGGGTGTTTTTCCAGCCCAGGCAAAATGGGAACCACTTTGAAGTTTGTAATTACTCTCAGCAAAAAGGACTCAGTTCAAAGTTTCATTCCTTATTCATGATTTCATTGAAGTTTTCTTCCTTGATCCTCTCTTTATTGAATTTTCTACCATATAAACTTGCGGACCTCTCGCCCTCTTGCTTAAGAGTGTGTTCTTTCATGTTAAGAAAACGTAAAGGAATAAAGGGCTTGTTTTCTTACTCTTTCAAAGATTGTTTTCTCCTTTAGCAGATCAAAGGTTACCATACTGATAAGACTGCGTGTGAAAAACGTGAAGGCAATCAAAATACTGCCGCATTGTCCGGCCATACCTGTAACTAATCTCGTTTTGTAGGTTTTTTAAAGGGCGTAGAGACCAGCTCTGCAGGTTCCTTTGTTAGTTTGTGATTGACAGGCATTGTTGGTGCCACGTGCCGGTCGCCTTTCTGTCTCGCTGTGCCCCGGTTTCACCAACTCCGCCCCGAGGCGCGTTGTGAGCCTAACAAACAGGCAGCTCATTAATGTTTATTTGATCAGCGATAATTTCATTGAATTGGTGGTGAATGCCAACAATAGGGCAGGTGTCCGAATAAGCAATTAGCTTGGGCAGGCTCTTCCCAGCATCCGGTTGCACCCCTCCGGATCCAATAACCCAATCTAGGTCTGATCGTTTCAACATAAACAAACAAGCTTTTAAAAGTGTCAGCATATTTTGCAGATCGAAGAGAACAAAGAGACTAAAGCCTTGTGTGAATATCCTCAGAACCAGAAGATGAAACAAAGAAACAAAGCTGTTGGTGGAAGTTTAAGAAGTGGTGGGACATATTTACATGCATGAAATATGTATTAAACAACTCAACTTCCGTTGATAAACACATTCAAAAACCCCCTTTGGGATCTTTTACCAGCTTTGTTTCATAATTTGTTTATTTCATCGACACGCTAGTCCAATTTCTGTAGGTTATATAACAACAAATATTCCTAATTTTCCACTAACGTTGTTCAGTCTGTTTCTGATTTTATGTAATGAACCAGTGACAGAACATAGCGAGAAATTCTGCTTCAAATCAGGTCATTCACATTATCCCCACGAGAGTGCTTTATATTATGGTATTCATAAGCAAGCACTGTGAAGGTTATTTCATTATTGCATACAAAATATTTTTCATATACATTAAGTATTAATAATACTTGCTCAAAGAACTGTGTCATTGTAAGGTAATGATCAACAATAACATTGAACTATCAGTTAAAAATATTATTGAGTTTTGGTGCTGCTGATACTATGATATATTTGTTCCATTTCCATAATGATAAATGGGACCTAAATCCACCATTGTAAGGATGACCTGGTAATGCAAATGTGGATCCTAATAGTTTTATGCAAAAATAAAGACTGATTGAGTATCGCCAAATGCCATTATTCAACCTACTCAATGGACAAGAAAACATTTTTCTAAAATTGGTCATAATTTTGGAGCTTGTACATGTATGTACATTGGAAAAGGTAGAGATAGTTTTTTTTACAAAAGAAAATAAGTACATTTGTACTAAGTGAGGAATTAAAGTAGAAAATAGGGTTGTTGTTTTTTTATTAGAGAAAAACAAGCTTGGTCAGGTATAATATTGGATAATTACGTTAAAAAAGTAAAGATTCTCGTGTTCCAAGAGAGGTAGAAATATTTTTTTTTTGTCTAAAGAAAATAAGCATTCAGATTAACTGAGGAGTTAAAGTCGAAAATTGGGTTGTTTTTTTATTAAAGGAAAACAAGCTTGGTCAGGTATATAATTGGTTAATTACAGTAAAGAAGTGAAGACTCTCGTGTTCCAAGAGAGGTACAGATATTTTTTTTTTTTTGGTCAAAAGAAAATAAGAATATAGATTAAGACTTACATGTAGTGAGGAATTAAAGTAGAACATAGGGTTGTTTTTTTT